GTCAATCACAGTCAATCACAGTCAATCACAGTCCTACCTGAATCTCCAAAGCAAGTATCTTTTCCGGAGGGGTCGCCGCCCGCGCAGAGCAACAGCTGATCATTGTACCGTCCTTTGCATGTGTCCCTAGTCTGCAGATGTATATCTGCGAACTCCAAATGCTGCACACGCTTATTCGGCCTATTAGACTGGCCCCAGCCGACAATCTGTTTACAAGAAAGTGGAGTTGTACCAGGAGTGTGCAACTTCATCCACTTCTTTCTGAGAAATACTATACCTGACAGGCAGAAGCGTCGGCCACCCTTGAGTGCTCTGACACAATGCACACCTTGCCCACATGAGCCCCACTGCCAAATTTTATCTTCTGCTTCAACTTGATGACTGCTACGTCATTACCGGACATAATATTATTGTCATTGAAGCTCTCGTGGCGTCGGCAAGTGCGAGACTCGTAGTGGCCGGTGCTCTGGTCGCCTTCAAATGGCTTCACTTTTCCTATCGTGATCGTGTACCAGCCGTTGCCGTTGTTGTCTTCTTCGTTGCAAAAAACACAGTGGGCGGCTAGAAAAGGAGAAGAGAGAGTTGAGGAAGGTGTTTTTTGCCCTGCTTACCAGTCAAGATGGTGTCATCGTTGATGATCGTCTGTGAGCAGGGTATTTGACAAGTAGTTAAATAGAAAACTAATTTTGCAATTACAAGCTCTTACCCCACCGCAAAAGTGATTCGATCGACTTTGAACAAAGGCCATGAAAGGAAACTGACCATCTGAAGCAAACTCTCCATTGTAGATTCGTTCAGTGTCGTTGCCAGCTGGAGCACACCAGACCAGACTTGGCAAAAGACTGTAAAACCAGAAGATAATGATAAGGTAGAAATCGCAATGACAGATCAACATTTTTGATAAGCAAAACAGGTAGAGACGAAGGCCAGTGGACTAGGGCGATGTAATAGCAATAACAACTAGCAGTAACAACACAAATATAGTTATAACTACAACTAATACAAATCACACAAG